GCGCGGACGCATTCCAAATGTTGACTGTGGCATATGGTGAAGCTACCTTGGACCGAAGCAACGTTTATCGGTGGTACAAAATGTTCTGAGAGGGCCGAGAAGATGTGAACGACAAAGAGCGTGCCGGACGCACGAGCACGTCAACAACAGACGAAAACATTGATGAAGTAAAGAAAATAGTATTGGCCAATCGTCGAATTACCGTTAGAGAAGTTGCTGAGGATCTAAACATTTCGATTGGCTCGTGCCATTCAATTTTTACTAATAATTTGGGCATGAGACGGGTCGCCGCGAAATTCGTACCAACGCCTCTGCTCACACACCGTTGTTTGTGCGCGAATTTTTGGCCAAAAATAACACACTAATGATGCCGCAGCCACCGTATTCTCCAGACCTGGCCCCGTGTGACTTTTTCTTGTTCCCGAAACTGAAGAGGCACATGAAAGGACGACGCTACTCTACGATTGAGGAGATAAAGACGGCATCGAAGGAGGAGCTGAACAAGATCACAAAAAATGATATTTTGAAGTGCTTCGAGGATTGGAATAAAAGTTGGCACAAGTGTATAATATCTGATGGGGATCTCTTTAAAGGAGACAAAATAGATATTCATGAATAAATAAATAATTAAAAAAAAAACACAAAATTCACGATACTTTTTGAACAGACCTCGTATACCTGTTTTTAAACCAAAATATTTAAAAAAATTTGAAACCTGGATGATGAAAACTGGTTATGTATTAATGATTGTAATTTTGCTACTTATATTATTTCTGGCATGAAAATCTATTTTAAAATTTAACAATACAACAATATCTGTAAACTATTTAATAAAATTATTCCATAAGCGAAATCCGTACACATCTAATTGTTGTACTTTTCCCATTATGCTAGCTAAAATAGTTAACGAAATTTCCATTGCTAATTCTAACCTAGTTTCTGCAATAATGTTAAAGCACAGACCAATCCATGAATTTATTAGTAGAATTAATTTTGATTCAACTTTTAAAAAATATACATTTTTAATCAAGTTTTTACATGTTACAATATTAATTTATCTTATTTTGAAGCATAATTTAATATAAACTTTAGACACTTGAAATACAGTTTCTTGCACCTTTAAACCAAATGTTCCGCTAACTTCTTCTCTAATACTATGGAAAGAGATAACAATAATTTGCTATCGGTTAAAATAATGGGTTGAATGTTATATACTATACGTGGTTGATGATATTAATTATAGAATTTTTTTTTTCTATACCTCTACGTGTTAAGGTAGAGCTTAAGATATAGCTCAAATATGGCACAGCATACAGCACACTGGTCTACTTTACTAGCGGTCCCGGGTTCAATCCTGGGTTAAAACCAAAATATTTAAGCTCGTTTCTCCTCTCGGAAAAAAGTGGCAACTCTACTAAGAGTGTCTTTGCCAAGAGAACCTCTCTAAATAATATGTCGTTCAGAAAGTTTTCATTTATGATTTAAACGACTTAATTCGACATTAAACGGTAGGTCCTAAATAACTGTGTATAATCAGCATGCGTACCACAGGCAGAGAGGTCATTATGTCCGGACACAGTCAATAGGACTGAAAGAGGGACGTATTAGGATACGACCAGTATTTTACCTGCTGAAATTCTAACTGGAATCCGCTTTGATCTGAATTATAAATATTTTCGCGTCCATATTGATACATGAAATATTTTATGCTTTCGATGAATGTGTGTGTGTGTGTGTGTGTGTGTGTGTGTGTGTGTTACGCATTTAACTTCCAAATGTGCTCTTAATAACATTGACTTTTTCATAACAAAGGAAGAGTGAATAGTTATTAATCAGTAAGGCCACTTTTGTACTCCCTCCCGATTTTCATTAAACAATTTTTTTGTAAAGAATAATTATTAGGAATGTCAGAAATAATCATTAGATAAAAAAATTCGATCCAAAAAGCCATAATTAATTATTAGTCTAGATATATCACTATGATACCTAAACCTTTCTCATGATTACTGAGTGAAATAATAAAATATTTTCGTTCTCTCAATACAATCACTACCCCCTGACTAGGTTTTCACCTTGGAGTAGTGGAGATGATTACGATTGTACGCGGGTCCATTCGTTCAGGGATGGTCGCCCGTGCAACCAACGAAGAGGGACTCTCTAAGTCAAGATGTTAGCGAACGTGCCGAAGTCTGCGTAGCACAGGGGAAGCTGGGTCTCGAACAATGACTTCCAGATACCTGGTGTTCTCCGAATAGTATAATACGCGCCAAGCCCCGGGCATTCGCGGTTTTGCTAGAGTGATATCGTATCACCACTGTAACTATTGAATTTAAAATAGACCAAAAACATAATTTTAACACGGCGCTAGAGGGTTTAGCTATTTTGAGCAGCGAAAGCCTTCAAAAATAAAACACGGAGGATGTAAAAAAAACTCGCGTAAAATATAGTGGCGCGACGCCGTACAGTAAGACCAAAACCCCGTTTGAGAGGCCAAAATTTCTTGCTCATTTATATATGCTATTTTGTACCATTAAATAAGATTTTAATTAATTCGTAATGTATTGAAAAATTTTTCTCAGCATTTGCTACAATTTTATAACTTGCAAAATATATTTTTTAATATACAAATATATTAAAATGTTGAATTTATTAGAATTCGAAACTTTTTTCTTCTTTCGAATACTTACTTAGAATCAACATTTTCAATAAATTTAGCATTTATTCAACGGTTTTAAACTATAGAAATATGTAATAAAAAATTTTTCGTAAAGCTAATAAAATATTTTACGTTAAATATAATGTAACGTGAAATATCTTTGTGTTATCTTATCTTTATATTATCTTTATCGTTATGTTTCTGAAAATACACAGATTGGTCACTCTTTTTAATATAAAGAAAGGACAAATAACGGCACTACGGTAGTATAAGTAGGTAATCAAATCCAGGACCTTTCGCATGATAGACGACTGTTCTATCACTAAGCTACCTAAATCCTACCAACGGCGGATTATCATTTTTAGTCAAAAGATAAAATCAATATGCGTTTATTCAGTTTGTTAACAAGTTTTACATACAATTATAATTACGCAATCGATGACAATTTCGCGGCTGTTGACGTAAGTTGATGCGTGGCCAGATATGGGCAGAATATGATAGACTCCATACGTCTCTGTTTAGAAAAATGCGCTTTTTCAAAATGGAGCAAATATGAACACAAACGCTTTTGTATATATTTTGAAAATACCACTAACTTGCAATTCATGAAGACAATTAAGCGGAATCTTATGTTACTTGTAGCCCTTCAAATAATTTATTATTTTATTATATGCATCATAACTGTGGGATAAAACATTTATATTTTATATCTACTCAATAATTTCTATTATCTTATAAAATTTATAAAAGATAAAGATTCATGGAAATTAAAACAAAATACATTTTACCTGTTTTTAACATTCTCAAGGATCACGTAACCAATATATTATTACTACGATTCATAAAGTGTTTCGAAGTCTCTTACAACTAAGAATTTTACGCATGCTTTTCTCTTTGTTGTAACGATAATTCATTGAATGCCATATGTTATTATAAACTTTGAATATCTCTACATAACTATGACAACACTATAATTTTTAAAAGCCATAACAATAACTTTAATTTTTGAAATTGTGGCCGCTCAAACGGGGCTTTGGTCTCACTGTGCGCCGTTATAAGAAGATGCTTGTGGCAGAAAGGGAGATAGTGGCCAACAGGCCTACTTCCTATGGGGACTAAAACCAACTAGCAACTCACAAGAGATGGGAGAATAAGTTTTTACGGGTAGTAAACGCCTCAGACAAGAACCGAGCATACCTAATCACTCAGAAGCTGAAGAGACCGAAGGTCATCGGTTGAGCGTCTCCTGCTTAAAAGGCGGGAGGTAGGAAGAATGAGATAGATAGAGAATCATTTGCCTAAGTTACCTCAAGAGTGGTCAGGATGACCATCGTTTTGATGACCTATCCTGACAAACAACTGAATGCGGAAAAAGTCGCTCACGTAAATGGATTAGTAATGGTCCATATCCTTGATTTTATGGTTTCCATTCAAAGACAGAAAAACACCAACCTTATGGAGCAGCTATGAGAGAGACGGTACAGTTATTTTCAACAGTACCGATGGACAAACTGATGCATTGCTGAAGAGCCTAACGTCAGAAATAACATTGAAAGAGGGGACTGCATTGCGTGCGTTATGGATAGACGAGCTACTGCAAGCGAAATTGAGTCGTAATGCACATCGAGGATCCTAAGATAGTTTTCAAGGATATCTTGGAGTTCCTTAACGGATAAAACCCGGGATATAATATCGATAACTCGGTCGCTAACAGCAGCGAAAGTTAAAATGCCAAAAGCACTCATTTTGCTGCCCAAATAAGGGATGGAAGTTTGAGGGCTTTGAAAGACATCAGTTTTAAGCCCTGTTGCGATTTTTGCCGGACAACCATAAAACAGTTCGGCCGCGGATGAGAGGAAAGGAAAAAATGGGCAACGGTAACCTAATGCTGCAAAATAAATAAAAATTCACAGTTCCTTTTACTCAAATTAACTAGCATCACAGCAGAAGCGCTCCGACTATTCTAGACAGGAGCATAGCTATGATGCAGA